GTGCCACTTTATGTTCAACAAATTGGGTCCCGAGGTCAAAAAAGGTTAAGAAGCCCTGCTCTAAGATGAAAAGGCTCACTCTCACAGAGTGGGGTTTATTAGACCTTTAGAATCTGGGAGTGGAGAGGATGGAATGGCCTGCCTGCAGTCTCGACCTCAACACTATTAAACACCCATGGGATCAACTTGGGTATAAAGTTTGTTTCAGAGTGACCAGCAAAATCACATTGTCTGACTTACAAATGCTGGTTGAAGAATCGGCTGCCATCCCACAGCAGTGTGACCAAGCTGGGGAACAACATGAAGTTGTTGTGGCTGTGACTTCTTCCACGTGCCACCGAGGGCTTTATTTGTTGAATGAATTAATCGGTAAATTGTCAAAATGTCTTGTTTCTTCAGAGTTTAATCATCCAACCCAATAAACACCAAACACAAGTCAAAAGGTGAGTAAACTGTTTGACACTGGCAGAGATGTGGTAGGTTTTTAATGGGTGAAACTCATAAATGCACCTTTAAAGGAAAAAAAATGCAATAACGCTTCCAACGCAATAAAATTTATTGCCAATAAAAGAAGCGTTGTTACAACAAAGAAATAACCAACCCAATTTTTTTGTATTTTTCGTGCTGAGTTAATTAGCTCATCATGGTTGATGGTGATTATTATAATGTTAATGGCAGAGAATCATGCATAGGTCAATAATTGCATAGTTTTGATATAGCTCACCCTAGCTTTATGCCTCCTGAATGGTCTACAAGAAAATAAGAAAATAAGTGGAAAGAAGCTGTAATGTTTTGGATAGAGGAAACAACTGTTGTTTCTGTGATCAAAGCTGCATACACTTGCCAGTTGGAATGATGATTAAATAATAGGTTGAGAGAAAGTAGTCTCTTCCCGTGTTAAATCAGTTTATATGCCTATTATTATTAATTCTGCTAAAGTTTTGCACAGAAAACGTGGCTGGGAGCTTAATGGTAATTTGGGTTACTTTTGAAGCAGATTCAGGAACATACACTGACATAAATACCCATTATAAAAACAGCAGAGAACATGCAGTGATGGTAATATAACCTTGGGGTAATTTTGGAGGCACAATGTCAAGTGAGCAGATAGCTGTACGAGAATGTACTTTCAACCCACTGATGAGAGCAAAATAAAGATGAYTGGTCATTACATGACAGATGTAGGAGAAGGAGCAGGGGAAATGGTTCCTTTTGAGTCGATGTTTGCAGAAAATGGGGTCTGAAGTGATGCCTATCCCTTTCACTTACTGAATATACGGGTCGGGTATTCACCTTACTGACCACTGACAGGTGTGGTAGTAGCTGAGCATCATCCCAAACATTTTCTTTACTTGATCTTATCCTGCGGTCATTGGTACTTACAGCCAGGTAACATTTGAAGAGAGGAGAGGAACCTCCGTAAGGTTGACCTTCACACACGTAACATCTGTGTGTATGCAGCCACAACCGGCTGGAAACGTCGGCAAGACTACACACACACACACAAAGTAAAACTTTTAGACTCGACACAAATATTAAAACAAATCACATAATTTGCTGTAAGATGTTAGAAGTGATGTTTTTGATTGGTTGTTTCGTCAAACACATTTTTTCTGTAGTCATCTGATGACTGTTTGAGGTGAAGCAGAACCACAATGAGCATAAGTAATATGCACACACACACACACACTTACAGCACCCGGAGGAGGAGTCGCCCGCCACCGATTTGTTCTGAATTGTTTTGCCAACGAAGTCTGCCATTCCAATGTTGTCACCTGCAAGGCCAATGAAAGAAAAAAAAAACATTAGAGTCAGTTGAACTCTATCGTTGGTTAAAAATGTTGTTGGCTCTGTGATGATCGCAGTAAAAATATCACAAGCAGCACATTTTTAATTAAATAATTAAAACATTGGATGTCACATATTTTCATTGAGTGTGTTGAGACGTGAGATCTGATTTGCTGAGAATACACTGTATAAGTAAGATTCCCTCGGGTTTTGAGATAAATTTTATAAAGATTTTGGTTAAGTGGATTACAGTAATTCATTAACTGTAATTATTTAAATAATCAGTGGTGGGCATCAGTCCGCTAAAGTGCAAATCCGYTAATTGCGGACCTAATTATTCAATTTGTGCTTTAGCAGTTTTACTAATTTCAATAATTCATAAGCAGATTAGTGCTTTCTAAAATTAAAACGCAGTACCGCTAATTAATTATCTACCAGTCATCATTATCTTGAACAGTGGAATGTATGGCTGTCAATGAATCACAACACCTCTTCTATCCAACAGCACTTTTCCCGAATAAACACATTTATTGGAAATGTATACATCCTTGCTGACTGTTGCTCTTGGTCAGGGTTCTCATTTCCCACAATGCTTTGTGTCTGCTTACGTAGCAGGAAGCCAGTGTTTAGAACTCCTTTCCCAGCAAAAACAGTTAATGTTTGTAATCCATACTAAAATTTTGTATGTATAGATTTATTTTACTTTATAATCGGAGCTCCTTTTTTAAAAAACAAATTTAAACGCTGGAGCTCAACATAATTTGCCGAAGCAATCGGCCAACGGGGTTAGACAGACATCTAGTGGTCAACTGGAGCAACTATATGGAAAACTTTCGTT